ACTCAATCACTAAAAAAGAACGCTTTAGTTGAGAGCTGCACAACTCTACCAATCATGTCATTGACATATGCAAAATTTTTTTATGACAACAGTAATATTATTTGATTCATAAAATAAATATTTTGTGGCAACAAAATGATTTGCAAATGCAAATCATTTACGTCAACAGCAATTTTCAATGTGCCGTTATTTCAGAGGAAAACCTCCCAGCAAAAACTCGGTAATGGGTTGTACTTCCATAACCAATTACTTTTCAATGACTCGTCTGCATTACTTAGAAGTACTCTAATAATGACTTTCTTATAATCTGATACAGAAGTACTTTATTTTCGACTTTGTCATTTTGTTTGCACATCTTATTTAATTGCGACTTAAGAATTGTGTTTTACAAAAAAAAAAAAAAAACAGAATTAGATTTGTATGTGAAAACCATTATTTGACTCGCAATGAAATAGCTAAGCAGTGGTGCAGTGTGTAGAACATTTGACTAACAAACCTAAGTCCCTGGTTCGTATTCTACCTGGCTCTTTTTATTATTAAAAAATAAAACTATTTACTAAACAATTTCTTTGTAAGAGAAATTGCAAGTACTTCTTTAACTCTCTATTTGTAAGCGAGCGTAGAAATACTTGCCTCCAATGACATCACCGTGTTAAAATAATGACTTAAAATTCTAAAGAAGAAGTAGTGAAAAGAGGTTTTATTAGCTTTTTAACTCATTACTTTTCAATGTAAGTTTTTCCTGGGCTTTAACTACGAAAGTCATTCTATTTGCAACAAATAATTTTGCAGTTAAAAAAACTTCAAATACTTTCATGTTGTTGCGGTAAAAAAATATTGTTGGAAATTTTCTTGTGACAAAAGGTTTTCATTTTCTCCAAGAAGTTTTTATTTATCCCAATAGCAAAATCAAAAAAGGTAAACGAGTTTGATTTCTTTTTACAATATAGTAGCAACACATAACAATAACAACACTTTTAAATAACAATTGGAAATTCGTTAAAAATTTAGTGAAATATTTTGAAATAAATTCGTGATTTTTGGTTAATGTGTTTTTTACTTTTAACAATATTTGTTCTTCTTACATCATGATACATAAAACATATTACAAATATGAAACTTTGGAAGCAATAAGATCCTGACAAACATCATGACAATCACTTCCAAACATCAACAACCCTATTTTTTAAAAGAAAGGACATCTCATTTATCCAATTCACTATCGGTATCGTATTGTTGTATCATCATATGTCATTTATACTTCTCAGACAAAATTCCTTGACACAAAAACAAAACAACAGTGAAAGCTTACGATATACAACGTTACGGCACCGATTGTGAATTGTGTAATATTTTGAATTCATGAGTATGTAAAAATAACAAACAAAAATTGAATTCAATCCGAAATATTTCGCTGCGTTTTTAACGAATCCAATTTTAACCGAAAGATGGTATTATTGGTTTGTGTTGGTAGTACTTTATGGAAAAAGTCAAATGAATTTAGCCCAAATTATTGTATAAGGCTCAATTTTCAACTTCCTTGCAAGGCAATCTAGTTATACTGCAATAACTGTCATCATCATTATACTCTTTAGAAAGATAATTTTGTGTAGATTTCCATGTTGTTAAAAAAACTTTAAAATTTAGTTCCAGTTATGCAAAATTAAGTAAAAACTTCCAAAAAGTGGCGTAAAGAATGTCTGTACAAAAATCTCAATATTTCAAAAACTAGTGCTAACCGATAGAAATACATAGGAATTAGCTATTTTTATTTAAAAGGCATGCAAAAAGTTCGATTTTGTTGACTTGTGTTATTTGCCGTCACAATCAGAGTTTTGGGCTTTTCCAAATTTGGTAGAATTTTTTTCATTTGGTAGAATGGTAGTTTAAATCGATTTTTGGTAGGTTTGTCAAAACACATACTAACAATTTAATTATACATTTATTTACTGTATTAAAATATTAAAATTTTTGTATATCAAAATCTTATTACATTTTTGAATCATTAAATGGAGTTCGGAATAACGCCTTTAACAGAACTTGAGGATTGAAAACAACAGATTTTTCTTAAACAATTTATGTTTCCATTAATTTCTTAAAACAATTTATGTCAATTTTATCACAAATTTCATCGTAATTTTTTGAGAACGACCTAATGTGGGAGATAGGGCAAAATTTTGTCTGAAATTCTGAAACAAAGAAATATGTAGTTTATGACTAATTGTATCTAAGTAGTCACCTGAAATGCAAAGAGGCACAATAACCAAAATATTGAAAACTTTTTGATTGAAAATGGTCCACTGCATTAAAATGTATATTGTCGCAAATTTTTAGAACTCTATTGTCAAAACCAGGTCCATATTAATATTATTTTGGGCTATTTCATGTGGCAGTTAGGGAACCGATGTTATGATTTTTTGGTTCATCGAACTGAGTGGGTGTAAATTTGTTTACAATTACTACATTTAATGTTTAAAAGTGTTGAAGAAAATATTAAAAATCAAAATTAGACCAATGTGTTGGGAAATATTTGCAATCATTTGCCATAACTTGCCCGTTTAATAAAAAATACGCATTATTTAACACAGTTTTCGCCTAAAACGTAATTTTATCTAAAATATTTTTTTGGTTCAAATTTTTATACAGACTTACATAAATTAAGAATAAAACAAAGCGGTTAAAAGTGTTGAGAAAAATATAAAAAATCGAAATTACACCAATATGTTGGGAAATATTTGCCATCAATTAATTTTAATATATCTTGCCCGTATAGTTAAAAATTGACATTATTTAAAAGTAATATGATTTGAAATTGTTTATAGATTCTAATTAAGAATGAAACAAAAATGGTTAAAGTGTTAAGAAAAATATAAAAAATCAAAATTAGACAATATATTGGGAAATATTTGCCATCAGTTAATATTAATATATCTGGCCCGTTTAGTTAAAAATTTACATTATTAAAAAAGTAAAAAAAATAAAGATTCAGATATTTTTATAGTTTTGGCCAAAAAACATGGTAAGCCAGACCTATGTATGTGCAATAGGTGAAAAGTTACACGCATTTGAATAAAACCCTGTATGACCAAAATGTCCAAATTTGACCCCCCCTGACTCCGGCAGTTCTTGACCGAGAGCTGAAAATTTGTGTCTAGTCTATTATCCCACAGTACAAAACTTGGTGCAAATTTCATCCAAATCGGAAGACATCTTTTTTAACCAGAAATTAACCCAATGTTTTTACGCTGCTCTTTGGTATGTTGTATTGTATTTGTTATTCTAGAATATTTAAAAATTTTACGTTATTGTTTTTGCTGCCTATTTTGATAAACAAATTGTTTTTTGGGAAATAACCATTTTAGTGTTTAGTGTAGAATGATTTTATGTATGTATGTATGTATGTATGTATGTATGTATGTATGTATGTATGTATGTATGTATGTATGTATGTATGTATGTATGTATGTATGTATGTATGTATGTATGTATGTATGTATGTATGTATGTATGTATGTATGTATGTATGTATGTATGTATGTATGTATGTATGTATGTATGTATGTATGTATGTATGTATGTATGTATGTATGTATGTATGTATGTATGTATGTATGTATGTATGTATGTATGTATGTATGTATGTATGTATGTATGTATGTATGTATGTATGTATGTATGTATGTATGTATGTATGTATGTATGCATGTATGTATGTATGTATGTATGTATGTATGTATGTATGTATGTATGTATGTATGTATGTATATATGTATGTATGTATGCATGTATGTATGTATGTATGTATGTACATATGTACATACAAAAGGGGGTTGCATAAACAGACAGACCGAAATCGCTAAACCGATTTCGAAACCTATAAGGAAATAGAAATTGTATTTGTACTTTATTAGGTCACAAAATATATATTAGTATTATTTTTTTGTATTTCGAACAAAGATCGAATTTTCGAAATTAAATAATGGTTTTAGTCCATAGATTATTTTAAAATCTTTTGAACTTAATTTCGGATATTCGAATATAATATTGTAATGCCTTCGTCAGTCCATTTGGACTACAGGAACTATTTTTAATAAACTGAAATCATTTTCGAACATAAGTTCAAATTTTCGACGTTTTTAATTTTTATTATTCAAAGATTATGTTTCGAACATAATACTATATTGGCACCATAGTAATCATAATTATCAAATTTTAGTCAATTTGGACTTCAGGAACAGATTTAAGTAGACTTAAAACATTTTCGAACATATGTTCGAATATTCAGATTTTCGTTTTTAGGTTTTTATGATTCAGAGAGTATTTTAAAATCATAAAAAAATTTTCGAACTTTATTTCGAATTTTCGAACTTAACTTCGAATATTCGAACATTATATTATATGTTCCTCTGGTGTATAAATAACTTCCAAATTTCTGCAACTTTGAGCTACGGCAACTGGTGTCAATAGCTTTGAAAGTTTTTGTCACCAGTAAAATACTCATCGACACTTTCTGTCGTATTTTAATGGAAAATTCGACAGAAATTGTCGATGAGTATTTTACTGCTGACAAAAACTTTCAAAGCTATTGACACCAGTTCCCGTAGCTCAAATTTGCAGAAATTTGGAACATAATACCATTTTTAGTAATAGATTTTTTTACTTAGTTATATTTCTGAAGAAAATCGACATATGTAATACCATTTTGAAAATTCGAGAGAAAATCGACGTGACTTCGACACACATAATAAGTGTGATTATACCCTTCTCAAAGGTAAAGAGTATAAAAAGTATACATTTGTTGCTCCATATCAAATCATATAAAACAAATTTGTGTGCTACTTAAGCTATGTCTGCTGTACCGCGGCATTTTAAATTAGTCATTGTGACCAACAACGATTAGTAATAATTAATACAAATATGTACGAAAATATTCATTATCATTTTGACATCTGACACGTTGATGATTTTTTCAATCCGCCTTAATAAAAAATGTTCATACCAAAGATGTTTCAGAATATAAAAGCAGAGCAAACAAAATAAAATTTATTACTTGATTTGTTAAACTTTGTTAAAATTACTTAAATCACCAGCAGGGATAAATGGATCTAACAGATAAAAACGTAGTTTTTATTGCCGGTTTAGGTGGTATCGGATTTGAAGCGTGCAAATTATTAATGACTAGAAATTTGGCAGTAAGTAACACTCCTTTTAGAAACTACACAATGTTCTACATAATTAATTATTACTTACAATAATCATCATATATTTAGCATTTGATAATATTGGACAAAATTGAAAATTTAAATGCTTTAACAACTCTAGAGACGATTAATCGAAAAACAAAGGTTACATACCTGAAATTTGACATCACAAATAAAATGTGCATAAAAAGTACATTCAATGAGATTACGAATATTATTGGATGCATTGATGTATTGATAAATGGTGCGGGTGTAATTGCTGATCGGAATATTGAGCTCACAATCAATGTAAATTTAATAGGTCTTATTAATACCACTATGGAAGCTCTTCCGTACATGGATAAAACACAAAAGGGTAGAGGTGGGCTTATAGTCAATATTGCTTCACTTCTAGGCTTGGACCCATGTCCACCAATTGCCATTTATAGTGCTTCAAAGTTTGCAGTTGTAGGATTTACTCGCTGTTTGGCGGTGAGTTTCTCATTTGTAATAAAATGTTATCAAATTCATTAACATTATGTATTAACATTTCTAGGACTCGTACTATTACAATCGTAGTGGAGTTGCAGTAACTGCAATTTGTCCTGGACTTACAGATAGTCCAATGACTACGGTTCCTAAAATAAGTGATACATTCGATTATTCCAAGCCATTAACAGACAAAATATTCTGTGCGCCAAGCCAAACAGCCGCCACATGTGCCAAACATTTGTTAAATATCATCGAGAAGTGTGAAAACGGTTCGTTGTGGATAAGTAATAGGGGTTCAATGACAAAAGTTGAACATCAACTTTATTGGCAACCTTGAGTTAACGAAATGCAAAAGTGTAAACAGCTGATTCAAAAAAATTAATACAATTTTCATAAAAATAAATATTAAAATGTTTTATTTCTTGATTAGTGTAAATATAAAGACTTCAAAATGCATTTTTTGTTTTTTATTTAAGTTTTCGTTAATTTTCATATCGCACTTACAGTTTTATTCTTCTTTTTTATAAAATATGCATTGTTTTGATAGATAAATAGATACACATACATGCATACATACATACATACATACATACATACATACATACATACATACATACATACATACATACATACATACATACATACATACATACATACATACATACATACATACATACATACATACATACATACATACATACATACATACATACATACATACATACATACATACATACATACATACATACATACATACATACATACATACATACATACATACATACATACGATTCCATTTCTAAATGTACTTTATTTGCAAAACCTACTTCTAAAAAGTGGGTTTTTTATTCTGGCAATATTGAAAAGAATTCCATTACTCAATAATTTTATTAACCTTTTTTAGAATTTACAAATATTAACTAATTATTGAGAATTATATGTAATTTTTTATATTTAATAAATGAAAAGTAGAAAAAAATTTAACATTTGAAAAATATGTATGTTATAGTGCTAGGAAGACACTTAAATGAGTCTCGGGCAGTGTTACCATATGTCAAGTTTTCCCCTTTTTTGCAAGTTTTTTGAGATTCAAAAAAGTTTTCAAGTTTTATTCCAATAAAAAAAGTTTTTTGAAAATTTATACAGTTTTTCAGTTTTTATTTTATTTAATCAATAAATAAGTTTAAAATAAAAAAACAATGTTTACCATTAACAAAATAATATTTTATACCTTTAATATTCGAGATATTCCTAAAAACTGAAAAAATTGACCGGTGTTGATGACCTTAATCCCTTAGAATAGACGTTAAGGACACAATGCACTTCGACCATATTGTAGAGATTTTGTGCAGCCCATTGGTTCACCATACTAGGCCAAATTCGCGCATGAAGATAAATGGATTAATCGGTGAGTGTTTGAAGATATCATCTGGGTCTGGGTAAGACAAAATCTTCGTGTTTCGAGTTCCCAATGACGGGTAGTTACAAAAGTTCAGAGGTTTCCTCTTGTAGTACACAGAATCTACATAGATTCATCATGACATTTCAAGTGTAAATTTATGGTGTCTAAGACCACAATATCCAGTAATTCCTTGCTACTGATGTTAAGGAAAAGTTCTGTACCAATTATCATTAAGCTATTTAAAATTCCTCAATTTGCTCATTTTTTCACTAATTTTTCTTGGGTATTTTGTAATTTTAGTACAAAAAAAGTTTTTTTTGTTGAAAAAAAGTTTTTTTTCATAAAAATAAAAAGTTTTCTTCAAAAAATATATGGCAACACTGGTCTCGGGAGTAATATAACATTTTCCTCTCTTCACAGAATTCAGTGTAAAGGACGACATGTATTTTACATATGTACTGTCACCTTTTTTATCCATATGTAATTCCGAATGTATGTCAAAATTTTTATTTTACACACTATTCATAATTTTTGCAATCACACCTGCCTATGTTTTTCCGTATGACCTATAAATGTAATCAAAGCTGTCTTTTTAATGTGTAAAAATTGTTAAAATTATAAATTAGCTTATTAAAAATTAAAAAAATACTTACTTTTTTATGTTCTTTAATTTATTTTTTTAATGCTATTTCAAAACAAAACTGCACTTTTGTTTATGTTTGTCACACGAAAATGAGCACGTATTTCCACATGTATTTTACACATGCAATGTTTCATATACTACTTTTTTCGTAATATATACGAAAATTTCGTATATTATTTAACCTGTTGTAACACCTTTTTTCGTATATATTAAGAAACTTTGTTTTATTTTACAAAAATAATTTCGTTAAAGCATGTAATATTTAACGAAAGTAACGAATAGAATACCACCATCAAAAAAGATGGCACATCCAAATATAGACGATCAAGCCATATCTGTCTGTTGAAATGTCCACATATCCGATTCTATCATAATTTTCTCTCGAATTTTCAAAATGGACAAATGAGTTAAAAATCTATTACTAAACATTGTATTATGTATGTCGTATTTTAATGAAAAATTCGACAGAAAGTGTCGATGTGTATTTTACTGGTGACAAAAACTTTCAAAGCTATTGGAATCAGTTCCCGTAGCTCAAATTTGCTGAACTTTGGATGTTCGAATATTCGAAGTTAAGTTCGAAAATTCAAAATAAAGTTCAAAATTTTAAATCTGTTCCTGTAGTGCAAATTTCGAAAAATCGAGCTTTTGTTCGAAATACAAAAAAATTATGGAAAATAATTTAAGCTATTAAAATAATCTCTGATCATTAATAACTTTTAATGGTTCTTATTAATTCAATGTGCTAATATATATAGGTCAAACAAACTAATAAAAATACTGAATATCGAGACGATTTTTACTGCTATCTCTTTTTTTCATAAGAAGAAATATGCCGCAAAAGTTAACATTTTCAAAAAAGTAAATCATATAAAAGTTTACAGAATAATATACTACAAAAAAAATACTCATGTCATATTGGATACATAATACCAATAAAATTTAAATTCGACTACGACGATTGTCGATTTTCGACTACGACATACATAATAAGGGTGATTATCTAATCTATTAATTTTTTTATATCCTTATTTATAATTTATGACATGAAGATTTTCCAGACATTTGAAACTGCCTTCTGAAGGGTTTCCCATTCATGACTATACTCCAAAAATACGGTTTACATTATCTAATAATATGTACCATGTCTGTTCCCGTACTTAGCGTAATTTGAAGGGTTTTTTGTCATTGCTTTTGCTTCGCGTTCGTAATATTTGGTAAGATACGAATATACATACATATATAATATACATTTTGGTTATATGCTACTTGAGTTAAAAGATATACATTGTAACGGACCGACCACGAAGGCTTCAATTATCTAGAGGCTGTGCTACTTTTAATACCGGCCGTGCTCAGGGAAATTGGGATGGTGTTCTTGCCACTATATAATTGAACTAAGTTCGGTACATAATTTATTTAAAACTTAGGTAGCATCATTTCCAAACAGACAAAGAATATAACAAAAAATACAAAATAAAAATGAATTGAGAAACTTTGAAGAAGAGGACCAGATGTCATTACCTCTTCAATGATCTTTACCCACCCTGCCATGCTATCTCAACAATATTCTGGATGGCCCTAATACTAACCTACTTGACGTTCAACCTTAACTTTTCATGGAATTATTTAAAAATTAATTTAATCGGACAGTTTCATAATATAAATATACATTAACAGTATTTATTTAAAAGTAATAAAAAATAATCACCCTTATTATGTATGTCGTAGTCACTTCGATTTTGTGTCGATTTTTCAAAATGGTATTACATATGTCGTTTTTTCGAGAGAAATGCAACTCTGTGAAAGATCTATTACAAAATATGGTATTATGTATGTCGAATTTTCTACAAAAATTCGATAGAAATTGTCGTAGTATATTTTGTTGGTGACAAAAAAAAATAATAAAAACTAAAATAATAACAATGAGTAATATAAAAACGTAAGTGCAAATCAATCGTTTTTGTGAAATTTATTGTAGGAAAATGTTTTATATATGTATATCAGCATTAAGAAAACAACACCGAAGCAGTTTGAGATGCTGGTTGATTTAATGTGAAAAAATCCTAATATAGCAAAAGGCTATCATAAAAATACGGAAAAATCGACTATAAGAGAGCAATGGAATGAAATAAAAAATAAACTTAATAGCCTCGGTCCTCCCGCTCGAGAAATAGAAGGTTGGATGAAAGTTTGGGCCGATATGAAAACAAGTGTGAAAAAAAAAGTTAATGCACAATAAAATTGAAAGTCGTGCTACTGGAGGTGGAAATTTTAACTAAAAGGTGTTGACACCATTAGAAGAGTCTGTTGCAGGACTATTGCAAATGGATACTATAATAAGACCAGAAGGACAAACTTTTGGAATTTCAAATATTCCGACCAATTTAACTGAGGAAACGAATATTGAGTTTTCATATAGCAATTACCAAAATAACAGCACCGATGAGAATGCCGTGTTCGATGTCCCATCCGAAGTCCCCATTTTGACAAGAAAAAAACAGCAACTAAGGAGAAACACATACTTCTGGATGAGCAGTTAAACGTTCAGAGAGAAATGTATAACGATTTGAAGAAAAGTTTATCTGAAATCGAAAGATACAGTCGTAAAACTTATAAGCTCCAAGAAGAAAAATTAAAATTACAAAAGGAAAAGATGAAACTTTATAAAGATAAAATTAAAAAAAAAAGAATTAAACAGGACCACAATGATCAAATTAAGAATGGAGGAATTGGAACTTAAGAGACGTAAAATAGAAATCGAAGAAAAAAAATTTCGTTAATTAAATTTTTTGTTAATTTAAAATCTGTTTATTAAATGCTCTTTATATTACAATTAATAAACACTGTTCGTTTAAAAATTCATTGAGTTCATTATATTTACTCTTATATTTGTTGCTGTGAGGTCGACGTTATTTCCTGTGCTACCATATACTTCCTGGTTTTCCACAATATTGTCAAATGCAGTGGAATCGATCTTGAAATGGATGCATATATTGTGCAATGCTGCACAAACCGAAGTAATTTTTGCAGCCAGGTTTGGGGAATAGTGTAGTTGTCTAGCACCAAGGAGACAACGGAAACGGTTTTTTAAAACACCGATTGTCCTTTCTACCACATTCCTGGTTTTTGAATGAACTAAATTAAATCGACATTCACGACTACCTTCTTCTGGTGTTCTAAATGGAGTTATCAAATAAGGTTCCAGTGGATATCCGGCATCCCCTGTATACATATATATGGAAATGATTTTGGTATTTTTCGATAAATTCTTCGAACTTACCTAATAGCCATGTATTTCTTTCTCCATTTTCATACATATCTCTCAGATATGACTTTAGATCACTAGCATTCCAAACCAAAGAATCATGTGCTGACCCGGGATGATGTGGAGACAGGTAACGTATCCTTAGCTTGTGATCGCAGACCTATATGTTAAAGATAAATTTGTCATGTTATATGTCAAAGTTAAATCTAACATTCAACTCACCACCATAGCATTTAGACTGTAGTATCCCTTTCTATTATAATATTTCCATCGTTCGGATAGAGATGGCCCAAAATCTTTATGTGTGTACCATCTACACATCCTATTACACCTGGAAAGCCGGTCTTCCTATAGAAAAATTCCTTTATTTCTAACTTTTTCGCTTCAGTCATTTTAAATGAAACCCACTTCGGACAAAGCTCACTATACATTGCCTCCACACACTCATTGAACACACAACTTGTTGTTGGCTGAGCAAGACCTACATTGAAGTCGTTTCCTGCACTTCTTTGATAGCAGCTTTCAGCAAGTATTCGAAGTGTTGCTGCTAACCGTAATGTTTTACTCACACTTGTTGATCTAGATCGATCACAAAGTTTTGGTGATATCGTCCTTAAAACATATTGGAAGGATGCTTTATTCAACCGAAAATTCCTAACAAATCTGAAAAAAAGTTTTCATTTAAAGTTTGCGAACTTAATACAAAATACTTACATTGAACTTGGTAGGGAAAGTATATTTGATTTATATCTTAGCTGTCTTCGGTAAATGGATTGATTTCTTGCACTGGTTTGCTCTTCTTCTTCATCAGAAGAAGAAAATACTGCAACACTTAACATTTTTAACAAAATTTGTATTAAATTTTTTTAATTAAAAAAATAAAATAGGCACAAGGTAATTCATAAATTATATAAATATTATCAATGTAATCTTTTACAAAATTACTCACGTCGAATAGGTTACATAATACCAATAAAATTTAAATTCGACTACGACGATTGTCGATTTTCGACTACGACATACATAATAAGGGTGAATAATTTAAATCTAATTAAATAATTACATTCTTTTAAATATAAATATTTAATATTTATAAATCAAATGTTTGTGTGGATATGTAAATGTTTGTTTTACTCAAAATTCAAATTAAAAAAATAAATAATTTTAACTCAAAATTTGAATATTGAGTAAAATAAAATGTTTATTTTAAGGGTTGTTTTTACAATAAATGAGTGAATAAGTAAATTTTTCAATATTTATTCAAAAACTCACCAGTTTCAAAATCCAACGATGTCATCAGGCCTGAAGTCGAGGATTCATTTAATTATTACCTATTTTAATTATTATGTAATAAATTTTTAGTTTTCACTCAAATATGTACCAGATTATTGTGTAAGTTAAAATAATAAAGTTAAAGAAAATTTATAATGTAAATGTAAAATTAATAATGCTGATTAAATTTGAGTTAATTGTAGTTTAATTGTAATTTAGGTTAAGTTTAAATTAAATTTAAGTTCAGTTTTAGGCTAATTGTATTTAATAACAACTCAGACACTCTTAATAAGTTCGATGATGTTTGATGGCATTTTTATTTCAGGAATTCAGTTTTGTTAATCTTTAGAAAGTCTTATTTAGGATTTTTGGTACATAATTTGATATATGATTTGAGGAACCGGATTAATGGAACTTGGTAAAAGCACAATATATTTGAAGGATTGTGGATTATCTCGAATATATCTCCTTTTTATTATAATATTGCAATTTCGTGTCCTTTGTTCCATATGGAACAAAGTATTTTATATACGATAATATCTAGATCCTTAAGAAAAATCTATTTTAGAACACTCAATGAACTATATTTGATATCTTTCTTACCTTGTAAAATTTTAGTATATTTTCCAAATAAGTATATCCTCAAATCCAGCTTCCAAATGTTTAATTATTCCTTTTCTTCTCTATCTATTTTATATCTTATTTAAAGTTTCAAATTTCCAGTTTACCTTTCTAGCTAAAGCTAACTTTTCCTTATATATTCAAATGTTCGTTCAGAAATTAAATTTTCAAATGAAAATTTCTAACATTTGTATGCCTTAATTTTCATAGGTACTTAAAACAAATTTTATTTGAGTATTTTCGAAATGAGCAGGTATTAAATACACTCAAAGAAAATAATAAGTACTAGCCCCACAACATACATACATACATACATACATACATACATACATACATACATACATACATACATACATACATACATACATACATACATACATACATACATACATACATACATACATACATACATACATACATACATACATACATACATACATACATACATACATACATACATACATACATACATACATACATACCGTCACCTGAAACGCAAACGGCCCTAACTAACCAAAAATTCAAAATCGATTTTATTGTTAATTCTAATGTATTGCATCAAAACAAATGTCCACACTATAATAACAACTGATACGTTCCACTATCAAACAATTTGTTTATTTTATACAAATAAATCGCGTTGATAGAAACAAACTTTTCAATTTAAATAGTTTTTTGCTTCTCCTGTAAAATTTTAAAAATGTTAGATAGGGCCGTTTGCGTTTTAGGTGACGATTCATACATATGTATGAGGTGCTTTAAAGGACAGAATTTCGAAAAAGTACCAGACATGTTGTTGTATCTTTTTTTTAGTTTGGACGTTATGAGATTATTAAATTTACCCGTTTTTACCTCCTAAAAATTAAAATTCTAAAAATCCCTCCTAGTGGATCTACCTCACTAAAAATACATCTACTATCAAAATATCATGATTCTAGGTTCATCTGTTTAAGCTGTGCAATGATGAATTAGTCAGTAGCGCGATTCTTTTAAATAAATGTGTACATATATGTACATACACACATATGTACATATGTATGTATATAGAATATAGATTATTGTTATCATAATACATATTAATATAAACACCTATTATATGTTTATTAAATCGAAAACTTAAATTCAACAATGATCAGCAACTATTAATTGAAACATTTTAAATTATACATGTGCTTGTATACTAAATAAGTATGTGACGAGAATTCTTTAGGTTTGCCGTTTGTATCCCAGCAAAACAGTACTTCCAAAGAAGCGAAAAAGAAGTATATAATTTACTCAATGGAAATACTGAAAAAATACAGAAGTGATGATTTTAACACTAGGTTGTTATAGGAGGAATGTCCATTTTATTTGATTCAAAATTCACTACTTCTAAAGTCATCCTCAAGAAGTAATTTTTATGTAATTTTTAGAAAGTTATTTGGAAGTAAAATTGTAGTATTATAGAATACAACTAATTTGACTTAAATAATATTAACATAAATAAAGAAATTACACACATTTAACATAAAATCCTTGCCCGACATTTAACATAAAACCCTGTCTATAAAATACTCGTCGGAAGCCTAACATTTCCCCTATATTCATGATATTTTTTTATATTTTTATATATGTATATGTTTTTGAAAAAAAAAAAAAAAAAAAATATTCATTAAAAAAGAATTATTATAGTCGTCGAAGGATTTTATTTAAAAAAAGATGACGGTTCAGATAATAAACCAGCATCTGTAATTTTTATAAACATATTTTAATTTATGTGTTTAAAAAATTAATGCAAACCGTTTTATATTTTTCAAAAAATTATTTACAATTTTGTTAACTAAGTAATTTGATCATATTTGTTATCGACTGATTCGTTTTAAATGCATGTATTAACCATTAAATTTCATATTCGTGTTTAACAATATACATATAACTGTTTATGGCCCAATACATATTGATTTTGTCATTCCGTTTGTAACAGATCGAAGTATTGGTCGTAAACCCACATATGTATATGCATAGATTCTGGGTCATAATTAGATTTTAAGAAGCTATATGATTCTCTGCAGAAAACACGTTAAGGTCCAAACGATAAAACTTTATTGTCAATAAATCGTACGTTTTAAATAAAAAATCAATTTGACCTATGTGTATGGCCTTTTATCCAATAGTACTGGTGCAAGTTTCATCCAAATAGATTTTTTGAGTTGGGTCACATGACATGAGATCGTGATTCTGTTAGAATGTATTGAATTTGTCCATACATAACCCTACTCCTCATATAAGGTAATCTTCAACTACAAGTACAATTACTTTAACTCTCATAAGTTACTTAAAAATTTAAGGTGATCGACTCGATTTTTCAACCGGGTTTTCTGCTTTATCAGAGCCGGTTTTTTCTAAATGTTGAGTTTTCGAATATCGAATAACTCGGTTTTTCGAATAATCGATTTTTTGAGTTGGGTCACTTGACACGAGATCGTGATTCTGTTAAATTGGTTTTAGAATACAAAAAGTGGTACCTCTGTCATCAAGAACCTTTATATTTGTTGACAAAAACTAAAGTTCTAAATATCTATAAAAATTTACTTAAATAAGTACGATAAAAGAAAAATTAGTGTTTATAAATAAATTTCACAAGGAAATATTTTTTTGGTTCATATTTTCCCATTTTATAGTGCATGTTATAAGCGCATATTCTTCATTTTTTAGTGCATGAAAATCCTTGCTTTGTTGATAACATTCTAAAAATTCTATGGAATCCAATCCATAAAGTTAAAAATATTTGATATTAAACATGCAAAATTGCTATTTTTATTTCAAAATAATTTATTCAATACATGATTTTTGTTTTAAGCTATTGAAATAGACCGTCATAGATATATCGCTATTTTAATATTAATTTTATAATATATATTTTAATTTATTTTTGCCAACGGTATTTCAAAAAATTTTGATTTCTTAATGATGTCAACTTATTTTACTTTTGAGAGACATCACATGTAAGTGTTTGCTGGGTACCACAATCTAAAATTTAGAATCTAAGTGTTTGTTTATTATCTATTTATATAAATAAATAAGTAGTATTATTGTATTTTTTTAATCAAATATACATACATATGAAAATACATATGTATGTATGTATTTGACATCTGACTTATAGTGGGTTTTGCTGGTTGTTATGAACTCATCAAAAATTGTAGAATGTATCTCTCTATAAAAGCCGAAATTCATGTTTGCATCTGATTATGTATAATTCTGAGTTTGGCGTGTAAAAGACTTCAAAATAAATTAAGCATAAATAAACAAAAAGAAAAATAAATAATAAAAACAAACATGGATCTTAGTGGTAAAAATGTAGTTTTTGTTGCCGGTTTAGGTGGAATTGGTTTTGAAGCCTGCAAAATATTAATGACTAAAAATTTAGCTGTGAGTAAAAAATATTAAAGTGCTATAACTATATCTAGACGAAAACTATTGATCATCTTACTCCATCTTCTTCATTTTATCTAGTACTTAGTTGTTTTAGATGTAATAGAAAATCCAAAAGCTATACAAACTCTAGAAGCGATTAATCCCCAAACAAAAGTTATCTATATGAAATTCGATGTTACTGACAAGACATGCATAAAAAATACTTTTAACCAAATTGTTAGTGTTATGAAGTTCATTGATGTTTTGATTAACGGCGCCGGTGTTATTTTGGATCGAAATATTGAACTAGCTGTAAATATTAATTTGATTGGTCTTATAAATACCACCATGGAAGCGCTTCCTTACATGGATAAGATGCAAAAAGGACGTGGTGGCGTTCTAATGAATATAGCTTCTGTTGTTGGTTTAGAACCCAGTCCAGCCGTTGCGATATACAGTGCAACGAAATTTGGCGTTGTCGGATTCACACGCTCTTTGTCGGTATGTTTTGACAATTGATTTTAATATACTATTCTAACCGAACATTTTTTAAGGATCCATATTATTACAATCGCACTGGTGTTGCAGTTACATCAATTTGTCCCGGAGTAACCGAAAGTCCCATGAGTAAAAATCCAAAAATTAGTGATACGTTTGATTACTCCAAACCCTTAACTGAAAAGTTTTTCTCTGCACCAAGTCAACCGGCATCAGTATGTGCCGAACATTTGGTAAAAATAATTGAAATGGCAGAAAATGGATCAATGTGGATTAGTAGCTTAGGGGAAATGACAAAAGTAGAACACAAAGTTCACTGGACACCCTAAATTATTAAGTAGAAATAAAATAGATTACTAACCGCCTGAAAGTTTGGTATTTATAATATTTTATTTTATATATTTGCAAAAAAGTACAACAAGTTTTGATTGTGAAGGATTGACACCATGTAACAAATGTGTTTACACCTTTCATCATTGCAATGATATAATAATAATTTTATAATAAGCTATATTATTTATTTCTAACTAATATGTATTATAAACTGAATTTGCATTAAAAAGTCTTAGTAGCTAATTCTTTATAATATGTATTAGATTTATAATTAAAATTATTATCTAATAATAATAACAATTACAAGTAAAATGTATAGTCTGAATGGCCGACCATTTGATACCCTACAAAAGTTATAAGTATATCTACAATAAAATGTGATTTATTTTTTAATAAATCATTTATGTTGAATTTTACCTTCATTTCGCCAAATTTAAGCGTAGAACGCGTGGTGTGGACCTCCAGCTTTAGAAACATCAGCGGAATCTATTAATATACAGAATCTATTTTCCATTTTTATGTGATCTGATAAATTCTACTTTGTTAATCGTACAAGATCAATTATGGTTAAAACTTGATGTAATAAGCACTCAAAAAATGAAAAACACCCAGTAGGATTTTGAGTTAACTTGAAACTAGTAATTTATGGTTAACCACAAGTGAGTCAGAGATGACTCAAAAGTTAATCATTTGCTTATAAAACCCTATTCAGTTTTTCACTGTAATGTCAAAGAAACGTGTCAGTACTCACTCACTAACCAGAAGTTACCTCATTATGAGTTAGCTTCTGGTGCATAAATGAAAGAGCAGCTGTGACGATATTGTCACACACGAAATTTTTATACCCACCATCAAAAAAGATGGGGGGTATATTGATTTTGTCATTCCGTTTGTAACACATCGAAATATTGGTCATAGACCCACAAAAGTATATATATTCTGGGTCCTCATTAAATTCTAAGACGATCTAGCCATGTCTGTCCGTCCGTCCGTCTGTCTGTCTGTCTGTTGAAAGCACGATAGAGTCCGAATGGAAAGAGCTAGAGGGTTGAAATTTCACATAAGTATTTCTTATAGGTAAGGTTTGTTTGGTATTGAAAATGGGCAATATCGGTCCACGTTTTCGGATAGCCCCCATACAAGTGGCCCCTCGAAATGCAGCTTTAACAGCCATAACTTGTTTAAAAATACGAATATAGCGATGAAATTCGACATAAGTAAGTTTCTTGTTATCCAAAATCACTATGCAAAATTTTATGAGGATCGGTCCATAATTGACCCTACCCCCCCATATAAGGTCCCCTTCAGAAAATGACTTTAACGCTCAATACTGGCTTAAAAATACTAGTATATAGATGAAATTCGATAAAAGTAAGTTTCATACGAGTCAAAAATCTATCTAAAAAATTTTATAAGGATCGGTCCATGATTGACCCTACCCCCCATATAAGGTCCCCTTCAGAAAATGACTGCAACGCTCATTAATGACTTAAAAATACGAGTGTAGCGATAAAATTCGACACAAATAAATTTGATACGAACCAAATTCTATCTACAAAATTTTATGAGGATCGACCCATAATTGACCCTACTCTCCTATTTAAGGTCCCCTTCAGAAAATTACTTTAACGCTTATAACTGGCCTATGAAGTATATAGATGAAATTAGATATAAGTAAGTTTCATTCGAGTCAAACGAGGCTTGATGGTGGGTATATAAGATTCGGCATAGCCGAATATAACACTCTTACTTGTTTTCTAAAAAAATTGTTTTCAAAGTCGCAAAAATTGTATCGTAAATTAACTACACTGAAAATAATCCATTCCTAACATATACGAAAAATGTCGTACATTGTACGAATCTTTCGTTGTTTCGCACCACGAAATTGTTTCGTAATATATACGAAATATTTTAGTATAATGCAAAATAATCTTAGAAAACTTAAATTACATAAATTTTAAAATGTAAATTTTAAATAAATATGGTAGAATTTACGAAATATTAATTTATGCAAACATTATGGTTCATTTTATAATAATTTTTCTAATTTAGTTAACAAATTATCATCCACACGAATTTTTCCTTTTTTTATGAAAATAATTCGTAAATTATATTAAGGGTTCTCATTTAAACATTCAAAACCCTCGTAAACTGTGCAACCTGTGCATGTTTCCGTTCTCCCAATTAAATTGTATGAGAATTGATTTGCACAACACTTGTAAGTTTGGGCGACTATTTAGACTGGCAAACAGTGTGACGATTTTAGCATTTTTGCAGCTAGATTTTGCATTTTTATACCCACCATCAAAATATATATAGATTTTGTCATTCCGTTTGTAACACATCGAAATATTGGTCATAGACCCACAAAATTATATATATTCTGGGTCCTTATTAAATTCTAAGACGATCTAGTCATGTCTGTCCGTCCGCCTGTTGAAAGAGTTGAAAGCACGAAAGAGTCCACAAATATTCTCTATAGGTAAGGTTTGTTTGGTATTGAAAATGGGCAATATCGGTCCACGTTTTCGGATAGCACCCATACAAGTGGACCCCCGAAAAACAGCTTTTGTGGGCATATCTGTTTCAAAAGTACGAGTATAGCGATAAAATTCGACACAAATAAGTTTCATATGATTCAAAATCTCCCTACCAAATTTTATGAGGATCGGTCCATAATTGACCCTACCTCATATATTAGGCCCCCTTCAGAAAATTAGTTTAACGCCCATTACTGGCTTAAAAATACTAGTATAACTATGAAATTTGACATAAGGAAGTCTCTATGATCCAAAAACCTCTCTAAAACTTTTTATGTTGATCGGTCCATAATTGACCCTACCACCCATATAAGGTCCTCTTCAGAAAATGACTTTAACGCTCATTACTGGCTTAAAAATACGAGTATAGTGCTAACATTTAACACACATAAGTTTCATATGATCCAAATCTCCCTACCTAATTTTATGTTGATCGGTAGATAATTGGCCCTACCCCCATATAATTTCCCATTCAGACTATGACTTTAAAGCTCATTACTGGCTGAATAATACGAGTATAGTGATGAAATTCGACACACATAAATTTCAATGAAGCCAAAATCTCTCGATCAAACTTTATGTGGATCTTTCCATAATTGACCCTACCAAATGTATTGAGGATCGGTCCATAAGAAAATTACTTTAGCTTACTTAAAAATAACGTAAATCTTCCTACCGAATTTCATGCGGAAAGTGTCGGGAAGTGATATTCGATGTAAAGATGTTTTGTATCAACCAAAATTGATCTAAAAAAATTTTATGAAAAACGGTCAATTATTAACCCTATCTCTCATATAAGGTCCTCTTCAGTTAATTTGATGAGTAATATCACTCTGATGTTTATAGGGGAGCATTCTTTTTAAGGCATACTGTTTGATAGTGGGTATATAAGATTCGGCACAGCCAAATGTAACACTTTCACTTGTTTATTTTGATTTAGCTGTAAAATTTTAATTTAGCATTTGGCATTTTATTTCGATTTTTATAAAATATTTTTAGCATTTTTAGCTTTTTTTGCAATTTTAGTATATAAACAACCAAAAATTGTATTACAAATGTATTTTGTTCTATAAATGTTCCCAGATGACCAGAAAAGATTTATATTGGAAATATGTTTAACTGGGAAAAATCAAAATTAAATGTCTACCCAAACACAAGCAACAAGTAATATGATTCATCATCATTATTCAAACTCATTGAGCCAATTTTTATAAAATTTCAAAAAGTAGTTTATTTACTCACACAAAATAAGCTATTGATATACATATTATTTTGGAATTCGAGTACTAAGGCCTATATAGGACCAAATTCGAGTAAATTGTTTGGTACCTTTTTGAAAGCACAATTTTTCTGGAACAAATGAATGCAGATTTGAATCGTTTGAGTTTTATCTTTGATATATAGATTTAAATACGGAACATTTTGTAAACTTGATTCTCAAAAAGTATATTTCTAAGCGAAAAGGGGGAAAAATTTACTATTTTCATTAGTACTTTTCACTACGGTAGAATTTATTCCACTTTTAGTATTTTTTCGTTTTTCCGATGGTACTTTTTGATATGTTTACGATATTGAACATAGAAATATAAAATTTAAAATATAGAGACCTTAGTGAATGAGAATCTACTGAAAGGGACTTTTGGTACAAAACATTCTCATCATCTAAAGATTCGCCCAAGTGCATTCCTGGACCTCTTAAAGTCGACCAACCACACTACTGGGATGGCTTCTGTTGGTTTGGCAACAGCACCTAGAGATGTATTTGGTAGCCTGAAATACCCAAAATAATAAATCGGGATCCCGTTTCATGAACCGATCCGTAACAAAGGATGTAAGAATTTCCATAGGCAATTGAACCCAATAATTGCTCCGACAAATAGTAGCTTAGCATGAATCAATATATCCTGTTGAGATGGCAACTGCACCGAGAAACTTCCCCGAAGCCTCAAAAGGCGTATTAATCAGTACTAATCTCCGACTTTAATCAGTTCCATTCCCATGATCATAAAGATCATTCTACGGAATGACAGGCAACTACTGAACGCTAACCTGACAATTCCCCAGCATATACCGGCCCCCTACTACACGACCGGTAAGAAACGCCGGTCGGGTTCAGAAATCCAGCATAAGCTGTTTTGTACACAGACCTGTGTCATTTGAAATGATAATTAACCAACGCATTATGTATAGGGTATATCAGCCCTTAAATCAACATTCTCTTCCCGCGAACCTCAACCAACTGACCAGCCAGGACAAGTCCAGGGGGCAACTGGCCACCCGTAGTACCAGATTATGTGGTTCTCTGGTTAGACCCCATGTCAAATCATACCAAGGACTAGCCGAGGAGTGAAGTGACATCTCAAGTTTATAGTTCCGGCAGACTAGAGGTTGATCTATCATCAAGGAAACATGCCCCGGGGGACAATGAGAAGGGTATACATGTGTATATAAGTTTGTCATTCCGTTTGTAATTTCTATAATATAATTTCCCGATCCTATAAAGTATGTATATATATTCTGGATCCTTATAGATAGCGGAGTCGATTTAGCCATGTCCGTCTGTATGTATGTTGAAATCAGTTTTTTGGAAGACCCCAGATATCTGCGATCTGAATCTTCCTTAATTCTATCAGACATACGATCGGGAAGAACGATATTTAAAATCAGCAAAATTGGACCATAAATACCGAAGATATGAGCAAAAATCCGAGACAACCTCTGAAAATTTCATCAAAAATTTAGATTTTTTATTCATGCTTAGACAGAAACTGTAAACAACAACAAAACACATAATCATACGGTAAATTTTTTATTGTACTTTGTTTATAAAAACAAAGCTGACGTGACGTCATGAACC